ATAGGTTCGCCATTACTGCAGTGTAGTGGTATGAAAGCAGCCGTAGACAATACAAATGAATGAGCATGCTAAGTGTCAATAAAATTTTATTTATGGACAGTGAAATTTGAATTTCATCTAATTTTGACATGTGGCAATATATTATTTTTCTTTTCATTAAAAATAATTAAAAATGGAAAAAGCATTCTTAATTCATGGGCTACAGAAAAACAGGTGGTAGGCAGGCTGGCTGTACATATTTGGCCAACTGGCCAGAGATTTGCAAACCCCAGAGCTAGAGTCTAATTCTGCCCTAGTTCTGGTATTAGCTGGTTCTTATCTCCCTAAGGGTCTGCATGAGGCCCAGAGAGGGATTATTAAGTTTGAACTCAAAGACCGGCTTCCTGCTGCACAGTCCATGGTCCTTAACAAAGCTCTAAGCTGCTGGTTTAGTCATTATTTCAAATGTGGTGTTTGTGTCCATGTGGTGCAGAAAATAGATATGTGGTCAGTGGCCCTTTCCAGGAGTTGACCATGTAAGGGCTGTCCTCTTATTAGCAGCCAGTGGCAACCTAAGTTTGTCAAGCCTGACCCCAGGCTTACTCACCCTTTTCGTTTATACATTCTCGGGTTGCGCAGGCCCGCCCTCCGGGGAGGCCCATCTGTCCCTTACTATTTGAGTCCCTGTTGTCTCATTGGCGGCTTTCGAAGCAGCTGCAAAATATGTTTTTAACTTTAAGTGGAATTTGGGGTCATCGGCGTGGAGCCTGGAACAGTTACTCTCAGCAAGGGCTCTTTCAGCTCCGACATTCTATAGCTTTACGGGCTCTGGTGAGTGTTAACTAACTCCTCCCAGCTTCCCAAGGCTGGACTTTCGCTGCGGGTAATAATTAATGAGGCATTTGCTCAAGGGCTGGGGAATAATGTGCACTGCTTTTTTTCTGTTGTTGTCATCGGAATCTGCTTGGTTGCCTAGCACCGCACTGGTCTGCCTGGTCGTCCCTCCTCTCAGCTCAGCTGCTCCTGTCGCTTCGCAACCACAGCTTTACGACAGGGGCTCGGACCGGGACCCGGACGGGAGGTGTTCGCTGGCGCTCAGGGGGCTGCGGCAAAAGCGCCGCTAGCCCACAGAACCATGCTGCGAGGCAAGTCCCGGCTCAACGTGGAGTGGCTAGGCTATTCGCCCGGGTTGCTTCTCGACCAAGGGGCACCCCCACCC